GACTACATGGCAGTGAGGAGTAGAAATCTGAGAAACGTTCGATACAGAAAAATTTATTATCGAAGTTGAAAAGCGACCTGCATTATATAATATAAAAATCAAAGAATATAGTAATAGAGACGTGAAAGCAGAAAAAAGGTGTTAATTCCAGATAATTTTAGAATTAAGAGTATTTAGTAAATAAAACGTAGTTATTTACAACACAAAATTTTATTGTCCGTTTGGCTATTTCTAAACTATTTCTCAGTCGCGAGGTGTTCTGTACGATACGAGGTTCTATTTTGTTCTGTTTGATGGAGGGACGCTTTCCACTGAGGTTGACAAGCGCTTCTACCGTCATCCTGGAAAATTCCCTCCAAGTCCTATTTTGGAAGGAATTGCAGAAAAGTGGGACCTAGGATTGTCCAATTAAAGCTTGGGGCGGTTTCCTGATTGCGCAACGTCTACAGGCCAAGTGTTCGTTCGGTAAACAAGGCCTGCAGGACGTCGCAACAAAAGGTCGCAGTTCGAAAAACCGACCCATAAATCCTAGGTCCCCCTTTTGACTGCGTGTGGACTTACGATACGTAAATTGCCGTTGAGATGGTCTGGCCGGCAATCCTTCGACAGAAAGTTCTTATTGTTTTCCAGCCAGACCCAAGTCCGTGAGAAAATATACATCCTTTGAAAATACTTGACTTTCTCAAAAATGGCGATGTCCTGTGTCGACGCAGCGTAAACCTGAACACATGGCCTTAACAAAAGGTATCCAAGCTGTAGAAGATCCATTTTTGTACTGAAATGGCTCTTCCTGAATGCAACGTGCACACAGTGTGTAAACGCCCGCAAAACGCTCGTCCATATTTCGGCGGAGAACATGCGGCATGTAAAAGACCTTAAGCTATGTAAAGTCACTCACAGAATTGAGCGTACACTCATGTTGGTAGCGAAAATTGGCGGGAGAATGGATAAAAACATACATATTTGAATGTAAAAATGCAATATATATTTATTCGTATAGTTTAGGGAACGATTAGTAAAAAAATTATTGAAATAACATTAACTGTTTGCTTATATTTAACTGAAAATGTAAAAATACTGGTATTTTACTAGCACAAAATTGAACGTACATATACATACTAAAATGATTTATTTATACAAAATTAATATTTTGTTGCATAACCTTTTGCGTCTGTAACTGCTTGCAATCGTCGTGGCATTGATTCCACTAGATTTTTGGTTACTGATTCTAAAATATTTTTCCATGTATCTTGAATTTTTACTTTAGCGTCTGTTTTGTTTATTATTTGATAATTTTTCAATCTAATTTTAAGCTCTCTCCACAAATGCTCTATAGGGGATATTCAGATCAGGAGACTGTGGCGGTGTTTTTAGCAACTTGGGTACATTATAGAGTAACCGTTCCTGTACAACACGAGAG